TCTTCAATCATTTTCAGTAGTTTAGGATTTAGGCAGAGGTTTTTTTTTTATTTCGGCATATTATGGGGGTACAGATTTTAAGGTTTCAATAAATGCCCATTTCCCCCCCTCCCCCCAAAAGTCTGAGTCTCCATCATGACCATCCCCCAGATGGTGCACATCTCACTCATTATGTATGTATATACCCGCCCCCTCCCACCTGCCCAATACCCTATTACTGTAGTACCTATGTGTCACCTTAGGTGCTGCTCAGTTAATACCAGTCTTGCCAGGCCTATAAAGTACCTTTGATAAAGTGTTAATTGATGTTAAATTAATCATAATCATTCAAAAGAGGCTTTTAGGTCAGCCTGTTGCTTCTGTTTATTCATAGAATTCTTATCTACATTTATCCGCGAGTATAGCTTTCAAAATAATCCATTATTGTTATAAGTGAGATCCTATCACTTTAAGAATCTTACAGCCTTAATGTGTATTTGGTCTATTCTCCTTATTTTATTAATGAGTAATGATCTAGAAGGGCTCAGATCTATCTACTCCTTGCATGACAAGAGGCAGGTCTGTTTTTAGCTCTTTTAGAACTAAGTCTGGACAATGAACTGATTGATAGTCCTAAAGGAGGGTATTGCCCCCTCTTTCAATCTTGTGACAACTATAAGATGGTTCTAGTTTATAAAAAAATAAAATGGCATAGAATTTGTATTTTTGTAATAGTAAAATTGTAACCATAAGCTTCCTGTTAAAACACATAATTTCTACGTTTTTCATATATTATTCCTTCTTATATGGATCTTCTATTACTAGTGTCCAAAATTCCTTGTTAAGATTACAGTATGAAAATTCTATGTAGTAGGCTATATCCTGGCTAAATGCTTAAAAACATTTTTTAAAAAATAGCTTTACTGGCCGGGCGTGGTGGCTCACGCCTGTAATCCTAGCTCTCTGGGAGGCCGAGGCGGGCGGATTGCTCGAGGTCAGGAGTTCGAAACCAGCCTGAGCAAGAACGAGACCCCGTCTCTACTATAAATAGAAAGAAATTAATTGGCCAACTAATATATATATAAAATTAGCCGGGCATGTGGCACATGCCTGTAGTCCAGCTACTTGGGAGGCTGAGGCAGAAGGATTGCTTGAGCCAGGAAATTGAGGTTGCTGTGAGCTAGGCTGACGCCATGGCACTAACTCTAGCCTAGGCAACAAAGCCAGACTCTGTCTCAAAAAAAAAAATAGCTTTACTGATATATAATTATATACCATAAAACTTGTCTTTTTTTTTTTTTTTTTTTTTTTTTGAGACAGAGTCTCGCTTTGTTGCCCAGGCTAGAGTGAGTGCCATGGCGTCAGCCTAGCTCACAGCAACCTCAAACTCCTGGGCTCGAGTGATCCTTCTGCCCCAGCCTCCCGGGTAGCTGGGACTACAGGCATGCGCCACCATGCCGGCTATTTTTTTTTTTTTTGAGACAGAGTCTCACTTGTTGCCCAGCTAGAGTGAGTGCCGTGTGGTCAGCCTGGCTCACAGCAACCTCAATCTCCGGGCTCAGCATCCTCCTGCCTCAGCCTCCCGAGTAGCTGGGACTACAGGCATGCGCCACCATGCGTAATTTTTGTATATATATTTTATGGTCAATTAATTTATTCTATTTTTGGTAGAGACGGGGTCTAGCTCAGGCTGGTTTCTAACTCCTGACCTTGAGCAATCGCCCGCCTCGGGCTCCCAAAGTGCTAGGATTACAGGCGTGAGCCACCACGCCGGCCCTGGCCTAATTTTTATAGTATATATATCAGTTGGCCATTAATTTCTTTCTATTTATAGTAGAGACGGGGTCTCATCCTTGCTCAGGCTGGTTCGAACTCCTGACCTTGAGCCAATCCGCCCGCCTCGGCCTCCCAAGAGCTAGGATTACAGGCGTGAGCCACAGCGCCCGGCCAACTTGTCTTTTTAAAGTTTGCAGTTCAGTGAGTTTTAGTATATTCAGAAGGTTGTGCAACCATCACCAATATCTAATTTTAGCACATTTCCATCACCTCCCAGCCAAAACCCCAGCCTTATTCACAGTGACTCCTTATTTTCCCCTGTCCCAGACCCTATCTACTACTTTCTGTTTCAATGCAAACCACCAATCTACTTTCTGTTTCAATGGATTTGCCTATGCCGAGCATTTCATATAAATGGAATCCTATAACATAATGACTTTTTGTGACTCATCTCTTTCATTTAGCATGGTTTTAAGGATCATCCATGTAGCATGTATTAGTATGCTTCATTTTTTTTTTACTGCTAAATCGTTAACACTATGTAGTTATAGCACATTTTATTTGTCCATTCATTAGTTAGTGCACCTTTGGGTTGTTTCCACTTGTTGACTATTACAAGTAATGTTGTGAACATTCATGCACAAATTTTTGTGTGAACACATATTTTTATTTCTCTTGGGTGTGTATCTAGGAATAGAATTGCTGGACCATGTGGTAGCTGTGTGTTGAACATTCTGAGGAATTGCCAAACTATTTCCCACAATAGCTGCACCATTTTACAATCCCACCTGCCATGTATAAGGGTTCTGATTTCTCTACATCATCACTAACACTTGTTATTGTCTTTTTTAATTTTAGCCATCCTTGTGATGTGAAGTAATACTTCACTGTGGTTTTCATTTGCACTTATAATCACTAATGATGTTGAACATCTTTGCATGTCCTTATTGGCCTTTTTTTTTGTTTTGAGACAGAGTCTCACTTTGTTGCCCAGGCTAGCGTGAGTCTCGTGGCGTCAGCCTGGCTCACAGCAACCTCAATCTCCGGGGCTCAGCAATCCTACTGCCTCAGCCTCCCGAGTAGCTGGGACTACAGGCATGCGCCACCATGCCCGGCTAATTTTTTGTATATATTTTTTTAGTTGGTCAATTAATTTATTTCTATTTTTTGGTAGAGACGGGGTCTCGCTCAGGTTGGTTTCGAACTCCTGACCTTGAGCAATCCGCCCGCCTCGGCCTCCCAAAGTGCTAGGATTACAGGCGTGAGCCACCGCGCCTGGCCGCTTATTGGCCATTTATATATTTTCTTTAGAGAAATATCTTCAAATCCTGTGCCCATTTTTAAATTGATTTATTTATCTTTTCCTTGTTGAGTTGCACTTCATGTATTCTGGACCAAGTCCCTTATCATATGATTTGCAAATATTTTCTATTTCATGGTTGTCTTTTCATCATTTTTGATGCTGTCCTTTGATGCACAAAAGTTTTTCATTTTGATGAAGTCCAACTTATATATATATTTTTTGTCACTTCTGCTTTTAGTATTACATTTAAGAAGCTGTTACTCATCTACAGGCCACAAAGATTCACATCTGTTTTCTTCTAAGAGTTCATAGTTTTAGTTCTTATACTTTAGTTTTTGTACTTATTCTTTGATCCATTTTGAGTTTTTTTTTCTATGTGATGTAGGATATCCATGTAGATATCTCCCTCTCTTTTGCTTGTGGATATCTGATTCTCCCAGTACCATTTGTTAAAAGGACTGTTCTTTCCTGGTCTTGGCTTATCAAAAATTATTGACGATAAATATGAGAGTTTATATTTGGACTCTTCTATTGGTCTGTATATCTGTCCTTATGGCAGTACTACACTGTTTTGAATACTGTAGCTTTATATAGTATGTTTGGAAATAAGGAAGTGTGAGTCCTTCAGTTTTGTTTCTTCTTTTTTTTTTTTCTTGAGACAGAGTCTCACTCTGTTGACCGGGCTAGAGTCCCATGGCTGACAGCAACCTCGAACTCCTGAGCTCAAGCAATCCTCCTGCCTCAGCCTCCCTAGTAGCTGGGACTACAGGCGTGCGCCACCATGCCTGGCCAATTTTTTCTATATATATATGTTTTTAGTTGTCCATATAATTTCTTTCTATTTTTAGTAGAGACAGGGTCTCGCTCTTGCTCAGGCTGGTCTCGAACTCCTGAGTTCAAACGATCCACCTGCCTTGGCCACCCAGAGTGCTAGGATTACAGGCATGAGCCACCGTGCTTAGCCTGTTTCATTTTTAAGATTGTTTTTGGCTGTTCAGCAGCCTTTGTATTTCCATGTAAATTTCAGCATCAGCTTATCAGTTTCTGCAAAGAACCTAGCTGTAGATCAGTCTGTGGTGTGATGCCATTTTAACAATATTAAATCTTCTGATATATAAACACTAGATATCTGTTTATTAAATGTTTAATTTCTTGCAACATTTTTTTATAGTTTTCAGTTTACAAGTCTTGTACTACTTTTGTTAAATTTATGCATATGTATTTTGTAATGTTATTGCAAATGGAATTTTTCTAAATTTCATTTTTGCGTTGTTCATTATAACTGTCTAGAAATACAGTTGATTTTTGAATATCACTCTTGAATATGCAACCTTGCCAGACTCATTGATTAGGTCTTATAAGTTTTGTTGTGAATTCCTTAGGATTTTCTATGTACAACGTCATGTCATCTATAAAATAGTTTTACTTCTTTCTTTCCTACCTGGATGCTTTTTATTTCCTTTCCTCATCTAATTGTTTTGGCTAGAACCTCCAATACAGTATTGAATAGAAGAGGCAAGAGCAGCTTTATCTTGTTCCTGATCTTTGAGCAACAGTTGTCAGTCTTTCACCATAAACTCTGAAGTTCCTTGATGCCCTTGGACAGCTTGAGGAAGTTCTTTCTATTCTTAGTTGTTGAGTGTTTTTATGAGGAAATGATGCTGGGTCAATGTTTTTACATTGTTGCTTTTATTAAAAAATTTTAAACCTCAAATTATTGATAATATTTTAGGTAAACAATTATTTTCAACAAATTTGAGCATTTACATTGCCTAAAAAGTCTATCTAGAGAAAGTGTATTTGACAGATTGTTCCAGTTTTAGTAATTAGAAATAGTGCTAATTTTTTTTAACCTTTCACACTCTCCCTCTCCCTTTCTTTTTTTAATAGGAGTAACTTTATATATGGCTCATATTTGAGTAAAGAAGAAATTGCTTTCTCAGATCCTACTCCTGATGGAAAACTGTTTGCAACACAGTACTGTGGCACTGGTCAGTTTCTGGTATATAATTTTATTAATGGACAGAGTAGCACCTAAAACAAATTCTTGCCTACAGTACTAGAAGACATCTGTTGAAGAGAATGGATTGGTTGCTGACTTTAACCAGGAACTAGGGCCATTTTTGTTACAATGAACTCAGGACTGGCAACAACCATATGGTTGTTCCATTTTCATAAAATTGGAAACAATGCAGTAATAGCTTATTATTGTTTTGTTTTTTAAAGAAGATATTTTATTATCTTTTACAGAAATTTATGATTGATGTATTTTATCTATAGTTATTTAGACATGTTTACATGCAGCAGATAATTGTTCATAGTGGACTGAAAACTAATGCAAGGACTATGGTCTCAGTGATAAGTATATTTTGAAGTTCTTAATATGGAAATATACCAGTGTAGTTCGGTACTGTATTTTTTATATTGATCTGCTGATACCAGTTATAGGTTTAAAGATTGTATTTTCAGAGTGGAAACCAATGTTTTTGAGTTATTATCCAGGGAGGGTGCAATATTATGTGTTTAGGAATTTGAAGCTAATTTTTAAAAGGTCTGAAATATGCTTTGAAGAAACACAAAGGAAGGCTCCAAATGAACAGGAAAAATTGGAATATTGAGCTTTTCCTTTTTTTTTTTTTTTCTCCTTATCTTTAATGGCAGGAAGAAGTGGAGACTTGAGGCTTTTCCTCTTGGAAAGCTTGACTAAAATTAGGAAGAATATCCTCTAAATTCATTATTCTTTCATTCTGGTTTCACTTTTTTTAATAAATGGCAACTTGGCACACACAGGCTGTTAACACATCTCAGAGAGGTTCATAAAAACCTATGGAATAGTTGCAAACTGAATATGGATGACTTGGTATCTGCTTTGTTATTATTCCTCAGAAATACTGCACTGAGTATATGCCCTCATTACTGGACTTCATTTTGATACTTGTCTATCCTTCATAGTGCCCTCTACTTTTAAAGGGTTTATATGTTGAAAAACTGCTGTGGCCTTTTATGACCTGTATATAATGTAGAATAAAATAATAAAATACTTGATAGCTTTTCTAAGTGACAGATGTACTAAGATCATGGTGTGTTGTCATTTGTGCTTTTTTAGGGAGTTTCTTTGGTTGATATATGATTAAAATATATGATTAAAATACTGAAATATGATTAAAACACTGGCTTCCTAAAGGTAGTTTTCACCAGTTTGCCAAAGGATCATTGTCAGCAGTGAATCAGCTGAACTTTATTTCCAAAAGATTATTTTAGTAACATGGTACTTTTCTGATCTTTCAAAGAAATAGAGGGCTATAGCCCAAGAATAAAGTACCACTGTTGTTCAACTTAAGATTAGTTTTATAAGCTGAATGATCATATTATCACTGAAAACTGGCTAAAATTTAGGGTCTTAACAGTTAGGTGTACATTTTATCCCCCTACAGATATGTGCTTTTTAAATATATCGAGTTGTTTAAGACTCTATACTATTTGGTAGAATGGTAAGGCAGTGTAAATATTTCCTCTAACTCACCATGATGGTCTAGCTTTTGACACTATCATTTTCCCTTTGGATTTGAGACTGTTCTAATTACCCCTGGCCTGACAGGTACTATGGTTTTTTAAAAAACAGAATGAAATTTTGGGGTATAGTGTAGATTCTCTAGTGACCGTTAACCTCATAATATAGGTCTAGTTTTCATAGAAGCCATTAATATACTACTTTGACTTGGTTTCAAGGAGACCTGGGAGTAGAGAGGCTATATTGATTGGATTAAATGTTAGCATTATTGGGAAAACAATTTATTTTCATGTTTATGTTGAAGATATGGCCTCTCAAATACATTTTACAGTTTATGTATTTCTCTAAGAATAGTATTAGTGGTACCTAACATTTGAATGTTTGCTATGTGTTAGACCCCATGCTTAATGCTACATTATTTTATGCAATCATGACAACCCTAGGAGGTAGGGTTTATAAATAAGTGAGGAATCTGGAACTTAGAAAATTAAGAGCAGTTTGTATGAAAAATGCTGAAACACTGAACTATAGCTGTGATGTGGGGATGAAGATGGAGAGACAGATACACATTGAAAAGATACACTTGAAGATTTGATAGGAGATTATAACTGACCAGAAAAAGAGCATGGCAAAGAATCCAGGGTAAGTGGAAATTTTGGTTTGGGTAATTGAGTAGATGGATTGACTAAGATGGTGGGAATACAGGTTAATTAGTTTTGGAGGATTGGATGGGGAAGGATGAGCTCAGCTTTGGTCAAGATTTTAAGGTGGTTGTAGAGTCTCCAAATAGAGATAACTATATAGTATATAATTAGATAGGTGGATCTGAAGTTGGAGAGAGGGTTGGACTGAATGAGTAAATTTATGAGTTTAGTTATTTGAAGGTTTAAAAGATATCACCGTGGGCAGTGTGAACTGAGAAGGTAGGAGAGATTGTGAGGAATACCATCATTTAAGAGTCTCAAAAAAAAGACCTGGGAAGGCATGAGCAAGGTAAAAGAGCCAGAAGAGAGTGGTAGAAACCAAGGGAACAATTTGAAGAATTGAAGGATGGTCAGTGCTGTCATACCACAGTTGAAGACTGAAGACAGTCCAAGTGATGTTAAAAAGAACAGTCTCTATGGAGTGGTGGAGGCAGCAGTGGAAACAGTGAGTATACACTAATGGTCACAGACTTTAAAAGGGGGTGATTCTGTAATTGCTGATTATATAAAGGTGCCTATAAATTTTTTGTTAGTAGCCCTCAGATAGTTCTTGGCCCTTAATAAAAATGTCTAGCATATAGATATTATAAGAGCCACAAATATAGATAGATTTTATAGGTGAGGCCCTTATCTGGATGCATAACTGTTTTATTTAGCAAGAATTTTGTATAGCAATATTGTACTAATTCATAATATGCAAGAGTGAACTTGGTGTGTCTCCTAAAAGCATGACTGTTGTTAAGTACAGTCAGTGAGTATAGGGATGATATTTTAATTGTTCTTGCTTGCTTTGCATGGCTCCCCAGCTAGAGAGTCTAATCCCTCTGGATAGGAACACAGCTGTATGCCTGTACATCCTCATCTCACCTAGGGTTAAGATTACCGAGTTGATTCCTGGGGTAGTGACTACAGACATACATCTTCTATTTTTTTCATGGCTCCTGAGCCTTTTGGCAGAAAAAGAGACGGGTTCTGTCTTAGGGCAGCCACTCACCCCCCCCTAGTAAAAATATATGGTGTGAAGTGATGAGAAAACAACTTATTGGTTTTTTTTTTCTTATATCATCTGTGTCACAGTAACTGACTTAGATGCTTTAGCTCAGTACTTCACATTTGAGAGCACACTGAATTTATTATTGAATGACTTTTTCTTTGGCCTTGGAGGCCATTCCTGAAGGCATCTTTGGTGATTTTTTTTTTCAGTGAAGCCAGGGTTTCAACATTATAGCAGTAGTCTCCTAGTCACCAAGGAAGCTTAAGGGGCAGTTTCTATGTCGATAGAGAAGCCTGATGAATGTTTCTTCCTGGATGTTGTTCTAGGTCTAGGTAGTTGAATGTGCCGTAGAAAATTAAGTCTTTTTGAGGGACTTGCTTTGGAATACATAGTGGAACACTGGCAATCTCTGTTTTCCCCTGAAATCTGTCAGGTCATCATACTTACAAATATTTATTGCTTCTCCTGAGGTTAATGGCAAAGGGGCTTTTGGCCTAGAAGAGGTGTTTTCATGGCTTCTATGTCAAATTCTATTATTTTGCTATTTAAATAATAGAGCTGAAAGCCATTTGGGGAGAACAACAAAGTTATTTCTTTTCAAAAGATAGTAACATTTAGGTAGAGTTTGGAAATAAGAGATTTAACAGTAACACCTTGTATCATGCTATATAGTTCTTGCAACCCAAAGGTCTGTTTCTGAGAAGGACATCAAAGTGCATATACTTGCTATCAGGCTATCAGTAAAATAAAAGATTGTAGATATTACTATGAATATTTCTAACATCTCTTTAGTCATTCATAAAGCTGTCATCTGTAATTATATAGAAATCTTCAAATGTGCATGATCTATAGATATTTTGTGTGTGTGTGTGTGTGTGTGTGTGTCTGCTTTGTAAAAGCTACAGGTTTTCATTCAGCAAATATTTAGCACTTTTTCTTGGACTGTTATGCCAGAATATTAGAATCTTAGAGTCATCCAACCTATGATATGGGGACTTCCAGCCTTTCTTGGACATTGGCAGAGTTAGGGAGCTCTTTCCACTTTTTTAACATACTGAAAAATTGGTTTAAAGAAGAAACACTTTTTGAAGGGGGGTGGGAGAGAATTTTAATACATTCATCAGATTAAATGAAAGGACAAGAACATACAGTAGACACAACTTAAGACAATTCAGAATCATAAACAAAATGTGAGGTAGACTGACTAGTGAAATTCACCAAATTTTGGTTAAGAAAAATTTTACAGTAATAAAGTAACACAGGTGCCCCCTTTTCTAAAAATCACAAAAAGCAATTGCATAAATTACAGCCAAAAAAATTGACTACAACAATTCTAATTTTTAGTTTACATTCAGTATTAACCTGTGTGAACTGTCATACATGCCGAGGTTCAGCAGGTCTATAGGTGAGTTACTGTGGGGGTCTAGCGAATCCATTTACCCCACATCAGTGTTCTAAGGGATAGCAAAGCTTAAAGCTGAAAACACCAAGATACATATTAACAAATCATGGTGTCCTGTGCTTGTGCAATTTTTTCCTTAAAGAAGGACCTTACATTCTGTAAAGAATTATACTGATGATTTTAAAAGCTCCAAACCTTAGTAAGCTAGGCTTTGAAAAGAATAGGCAGGTCAGTTTCTCCATCATTGGGGGTGACGGTCTTTTGGCTTTATTCTGGCATTTTTCCTCCAAAGACTTAAATAGTATTTAAGAGCTCAAAATCATTTGAATTTTCAGAGTGCAGCCCTAAGTAATATGGAATGCCTGCATCTGATATAACTACTTTAAAAAAACATTCTTCAGACCATGAAGTCATAAAGCCAGAAGAAACCCTGAGAGGCCATCTCTCCCAAGTACAATTGTTTTAGAATTATTTCAAGTATTTTATCTGCCCTACATAGTAAATGGTATTGGAATATTGCACAAACAGTGGGTTTCTTGATATTGTCTGCATTAGGCCCTTTCAGCAAAACAGGAACACGTGAAATACATTCATATCTAAACCAAACTCCTTCAAAACATAACCTTTTTGCCAAAATATCTGCTGTACTAAAATTAAGGAGTATTTTTAAAGCATATATAAGGCAGGTCCTCTCTGAAGGACAATTAAAAATGGGGTTAAAAGGAATTGTTCATTTCAAAATACATTTAAAGCATCATAAGTAGCTATAATTAAAACCAAGCGATCTGCAAACCATTTTCAGTCTAATACATTCCATCATTTCACTAGCTGTAAACTCCTTGTTAACACAAGATAATAAAGCTGGTCAATTAACACTATTTGTTCTAAGTAAATGCAGGCTTTATAGACCCCTCAGTAGTTTCAGGTCACACAAACAAGATCGATTCAAGTAAAAATGGCCATTTTAAGTGGGGTTAAAGTGGTATATATGGGCTAATGAAAAAAATCTCAAGAGATTGTTCAGGGATGAGAATTGGAGTAATTTAAGAGTAAACTTCCCATAGACTTAGTTTGTTCTAGAACATTTTATAAAAATGTTTTTGATTAAAATATTTGGTGAGAAATCTGTAGAAATTTATAGAATCTTCCTTACTCCTTACAAAAGAATTCACTGGTAAGATAAAGGAAAACATTTCTCTCTCTTTCTATGGCTCTATTTCCCATTTCAGCAATTTGTTTTGTTGTCAGTGTAAGGTGGCTAATTCAGTGTGTCTTTTAAAGGCAGCTTTGCTTGAGTCCCTGAAAGGAAATGAACTAGTTCCACTCCACAACAGAACCTCGGCCTGACATTTATGTTTGCTGGTACCATCTGCTTAATTCCAACCAAACAGGGTGGATGCAGGTAAACTGCCTTCTTATTTGGCTCAACTTTATCAGTTCTTGCACAAGATTAATCACTGTTCCATATTCTCATAGACATGATGTGCTTAAAGACTGGAAACCTTTTTAAAGAATGGGAAAAGCAAAGGAATTAAGCTAGGAGAAGCTGCATAAATGCACACAATGCCTGCTCTGCATTTACTGATGTTTGTTCAGTTTAAATAGTAAACTTTTAACTCCTGTGGAAATTTTGCCAAAACTTTCAATACATAGAAGATTATAAATCTTAAACTAACACTGCACAGAGAAAGACAAAGCTACTTCTTTTTTAAATACCAATATCTTCTACATTCTATCATTTCAGACCCCTGAGTAATACTGTACCAAAGTACAGATCTGAAGAGAAACTGAGGGTTCAGGCCTCAAATGTTAATCTTCAATTAATTTCACACCAGTGGTGTGCGTCTCATGTAACACATTCAGGCTAGCTAATGCTGAAAATTGTTTCCTCCTGACATGGTGTAGTAGAAAAAACAATGCAAACTCCATGTTCATTCTCCAAAGTGTATCTTCCTTAGGATCCCATAGGCAGACCATATCTTAAGTAATTGCATAACTGCCTAGGGTAGAGTTTACCTGAACTTAAGGTCCTGTAATTGGAACTGAAGGGAAGTGATATCCCCAAAGACCTGGGCCAGATTTGGGGAGTTCTTTGGAGAATAGACAAATATGTTGCACTTTGCTCCACAGTGATTGTACTTTAAAGGAAAAAAAAAAATCCCAAATTGTTTCTGTCTCACTCTACCTAGGCATCCCCTTGCTATTTTTGGTCGTGTCAAAAGCTCATACATGGCGTCCAGTAAGAAAGTAGAGAGGCTTGTCATCACTGCTGTTAGCAGTTTGAAACTCATCCCGGAGGCGGAACTGCCATTCATCCTCTAGCTCTAAGCGGACAATTGTTTGGCGTAAGGAGCTTCTGTCTTGGCAGATGACACACAGGGTAGCACCTTCAGGAAAAAAGGCAGAAATGTGTCTTAGGCTCAGGGATTGAATTTATAAAAGAACCATACCATTTCTCTGATTATGTTTCCTAAGCTAACACATTTGCGAACCAACATATAGATAAGTAACCTATCAATTGTTCCTTTTAATTTTATTATTTGTTTTGAAAAAGTATTTCACAAATTCAGTAGATTAAAATAGTGTAAAGTGGGCAATCTCCCAACCGTGGTCGCCCTTCCCTGTGATAACTAATGTTATGTTTCTCATATTCCTCTAGATTGGGGTTTTTCAACCTCAGCACTATTGAATTGGGTAATTCTTTGTTGGGGGGGAGGGCTGTTCTGTGTCTTGTAGGATGTTTAGCAATATCCTTGGCTTCTGCCCAGTATATGCCAGCAGCACCCCCCAGTGACAACCAAAAATGTCTCTAAACATTGAAAAATATCTTCTGGGGGTGGCAAAATTGCCTCCCCTCTCCCCATGAGAAACACTACTCCAGAAGTACTTTATACAAATAAATGCACAGTTCCCTCCTGTTCTGATGCTACATACAATGTTCTGAACCTCACTTTTTCTACTGACCTCAAAGGTCATCTTGTTAACATTATTTATGATGTTCAATCTGTAATTTATTCTTAGGCCAGTCTAACTCTTTCTATGGTTTATACCTATTGAATTAATTTCTGTATCAGATAATACCTAAGGGAATTTACATCTGGGGATGCAATTAAACAAATATGTTGTAGCTGATTCCTGACCCAGCAATATTATATTCAGATTACTATAGAATGTGTATAGTTATATACATAGACTTATTAACCTGATTTCTCCTAAAACTTGATTAGATGAGAAATATTATGTATTCTTGCATTACATCATTCCTTTCTAAATTAATAGTGGCAAAAATTTAATAAGGTCACAAGCGTGGCTGTTTATCTGCATTTAGTCTTAGTAACTTTATTCCCCCCCCCCATTTAAGGAAATCAGTGGCCCTGTTTTAAAAGCAAAATACTGAAATTACTGGCAAAATTGGTGTTAAATAGTGTTTTTTTTAAAATATGTCTTTTACCTCTGTATTTTATCCAGTGGGAGACCAATAGCATTTATAATTAGGATACTAAATTTGATTTACCTTTTAGAAACTTAAATTTCTTAAGAAGATCAGCACCTACAAAAGAGTCACAGAGGTACAAGAGGAGTCCACTGAAACACACCCCTTCACAATTGACATTGTTGGAGTGGGGTCTGGAGCTGATGTAGCATATGGCCACCTGAAATCATGAAGCAGAAAGAGCGTGGGCATTTCAAGAGCAAGCAAAATGTTTGCAGTTTAATTTAATCTTTATCTCAGGGTAAGGTAAAGGAGATGAGTTTTTTCCAGTGTTAAGTTAAATGGGTAGGTTATTTAAGCTTTGTACCTTTTTTATTTAGTGTGCCAAGTTTTAACCTGTTTAAAAAGCTGCTCGTTTATTTCTCATAATAAAGGAATGTTATGAGGGAAGTTAGTAGTAAGAAACAAAACAAGTCCCTCCATCTGAGAGTCTTTATAAAATCAGAAAATTAGGGCCAGATATGGTGGCTCACCCCTGTAATCCTAGCACTCTGGGAGGCTGAGGTGGGAGAATCTCTTGAGCTCAGGTGTTCAAGACCAGCCAAGCAGGAGTGAGACCCTGTTGCTACTAAAAATAGAAAAAAATTAGCCGGGTATGGTGGTGTGCACCTGTAGTCCCAGCTACTTGGGAGGCTGACGCAGGAGGATCACTTGAGCCCAAGAGTTTGAGGTTCCTGTGACTGAACTAGACTCTGTCTTAAAAAAATAAAGAAAAAGAAAATTATCTTCCACAAAAGTCATACTTAGGAAAGATTAAATGTTAGATTACCTTATTTTTTTTTTTTGAAGATTACCTTATTGACAAGAATAAATTTTTAATCAGCTTTTCATTTAAATTTACTTAAATTTTCAACTGATGCTTAAAACAGTTCATGAATTAAAATTTTTGCCTCTATCTGGCTTCCATGAACATAAGGTAACTTCATAAAAATTATGGGGAATTGGCCAGGCATGGTGGCTCACGCCTGTAATCCTAGCACTCTAGGAGGCTGAGGTGGACAGATTGCTCAAGGTCAGGAGTTTGAAACCAGCCTGAGCCAGAGGGAGACCCCGTCTCTACTATAAATAGAAAGAAATTAATTGGCCAACTAATATATATATATAGAGAGAGAAAAAATTAGCCGGGCATGGTGGCACATGCCTGTAGTCCCAGCCACTTGGGAGGCTGAGGCAGGAGGATTGCTTGAACCCAGGAGATTGAGGTTGCTGTGAGCTAGGCTGACGCCACGGCACTCACTCTAGCCTGGGCAACAAAGTGAGACTCTGTCTCAAAAAAAAAATTATGGGGAATTGAATAAGATAGGAGTTAGAATGGTGGAATGGCTAAATGCATGGGCCAGTCTGCTTGGGTTCAAATACTGGTTCCTCCCCATTTATTAGCCACGTGACAATGAATAGTTTCCTTCATTTTACTATACCTCAGTTTCCTCATCTGTGGTGATATTACCTGTTTCATAGGTCTGTTGGGTGAATTAAATAATATATGCAAACCACTTAGTAAGTATTGGGTAAATGTTAGCTGCTATTAGTAGTAATGAGATTATGTTTTCTACTACCGAGGGCCCTGGACTCTAGGGTAGAGGAATTGGAAAAGATGTTGGTTAGACATGTAACTTAATTAAATACCATAGAAAGTTTTATTACATCTGATGATTTTTAAAGTTTCTTTTATCTCTAAAATTCTACCAGCTGTGGCTCAATCCACAGTATAGATTATTGAAACATCATAAAAATGAGAATGTAAAATGTTTACACTGTTAAATTTTAAAAATTAAGTTTCTAATTGAGTGTTAAAAGATTGTGTATAATAGATACATGTGTTGTTTGTCAATACATACAAAGAAAAAACCCAGAAGGAAATGTAGCATACCAAAATGTTATGTTCCTGTTATAGGTAACTTTATTTTCTTCTTTATACCTTTAAAAAATTCTTTACAAGAAGGATGTATTACATTAATGACTAGAAGGGAATAATCCTAAGGGAAAGCTTAGTGGCAGGAGCCTGAAGGTGCAAATGGCAATGTTAAAAAAAACTAAAACATGCAAAGAAATTGAGAAAGAAGTCTAGGGGTGGGAAGTGGAAAAATGCCAGCTATAAAGGGCTCAGGTGGTATACATGTAATCACCTAAAATAGTGGCTGAGACATTGTGTGCCTTTGAAAAGCTCACAATCTTATGGAGAAAACCCACATAATTACAATATAATCTGATAAATGTTAAGGGAGGTGGGAGTAAGCAACTCCTTCTGCCCTAAGTCATCAAGGTAGGCTTTTCGGAGGAGCTAACTGAGCTAAGTTATCAGTGTTCACTGGCTGGTTTTATGGAGATGAACTAGGTATCAGGAGGGAGAGTTGCCATCGCATCTTGTAGGAGCCTTTACATGAGTGAATATGTCACAGGCTATTTTTGGTGTCTACTTAAGTTCTCAAAAGCTAAAATGGGAAAGAAATAGGTGGATGTGGGTAAGCAGAGTACTAACCACCACCACCCCTTTACCTCCGGTCCAATGTTAAGGTAGCAGTCAATGGCCAGCACAGGACTCTTGAAGTTACAGATGGCTTTGGGGAAGAGTTTATATGAAGCGTGCTGAAGGAATTTCTCCAGGAGAAACTGTGCAGGGGCTGCCAGTAGCGTGTGTTCACTGTCAGGAGCACAGATGTACTGAAGGGGTAAGATGGGTGCTAAGCTCTCTGACACCTGAAATCAGAGCCAAGATGATCATGGGAAATAAGTCTCTCACTAGATGAAACTGGATTGTATCCTAACAGTCACAAAATAATAGTAGTAGCACAGTGACAGATGCTAGGTTCTTGGGTCCTGAATTTTTTTTTCCTCTTGGGAATAATAGTACAATAGGATTTAACATAGGTTGCACACAGCAAGGACAGTAGAAGGTGGAAAGTAGGCTCTTTTGAAAGTTCACTACATTTAACAAGTATACACTGTGAGATCCAATAGACAGCCTTTTACAGCGGTGCTGGGTGTGTATGAGTCAAATCCTAGCCCATCCCAGCTTTAAAAAAAAAAGACAAAGGTTTCTAAGCTCCACGTGCTACAAATTATTAGATACCGGTAAATCTCAGAAAAGAGTAGACCTTGGAATTCACTCTTTACAGGTTTTGATCTGTATTGCTATCTGTAAAAAAAAAAAAAATTCTGGCGAAGAACCAGACTAGCATCTTGATTTACATTTCTCTTGTGTATCACATAAGGCAGCAGTCCCCATCCTTTTGGCACCTGGGACCAGTTTCGTGGAAGACAGTTTTCCATGGACGGGGTGGGGGGAGATGGCGAGCAATGGGGAGTGGCTGCAAATACAGATGAAGCTTCGCTCTTGCTCGCCCACCACTCACCTGCTGTGCAGGCTGGTTCCTAACAGGCCACGGACCGGTACCGGTCTGCAGTCTGGGGTTGGGGACGGCAAACAAAGGATGTAAAAATGTAACATTTGTCATCTTGAAACTAAAGCTCTGCTGGAATTGTTCAGGCTTAAATCTAACGTAATTTCATTGAATTGTTAAAACTTATGTTTTGGTGCTACATGAGTCCTCAGTAACAGAAAGGAGACTGCGAATTTGACATTAAGAACTATCTTGTATTACTTCACTTTCCAATCAAGTGGAAAGTGCTTAATGCTAGTATCTAATAACAGAGATATTCATAAGATGTCATTATGCTTGTTTTCAACACTCAAATCAGGCTTGCAAAACTTACCATGATCTTTGGTTTAATGATAAAGTCCCTTTGCCCGCCAACCTGAATATGTTTCTTCATGAGACTGAAGTTATTAAAGCGGCAGATGAGCAGGCCACTACTGTTTGTTCTCAGGTTAAAGTCAACATCTTCACAGAAATACCTAAATCATAACCACAACAATAGGTTTCTTTGACTGCCTGTCACATCTCAACCATGATAAGTATACATAGAGATAGGGTGGCAGATGTTGGGAGAGATCCTAAAATAATCAACCTTGCTTTCGTGGTGGAGCTCACCCTCATAACACTGTCCTGTGAAAAACCTTGATTTGGGCATTATAGGAAGTATGGTGATTTTTGTCCCAGATATGCAACACGGTTTTAGATATCCCTGTGCAAAACCAGGATTGTATTCCTATTCTGTATACTCGGGCAGAACAGCATTGCAGAGGTGTTCTAGTTTTAAAATTTTGGCTACACACAGGATGAAATATCTGCCAAAGTTAAAACCCCAGGCTGAGCGCGGCCGTCGGCTCACCGCCTGTAATCCCTCAGCACTCTCCGGAGGGGCGCAGGCGCGGTGGAACTCTGCGCTCGAGGTCACGCGACGTTCAAAACCAGCCTGAGCAACGGGCGGAAACAAGCGAGACCCCCATCCATCTCCTACTAACAGAACTAGAAAGAAACTTAATTGGCCACGAATAAGTCACTACGACAAAACACTCAGCCGAGCCATCCGGCTGGCCATGCTTGTAGCCCAGCTACCGTCGGCGAGGCGAGGCAGGAGGATCGGGCTTGAGCCCGGACGATGAGGGTTGCGTGAGCTAGGCTCGCCCACTGGGGCATCACTCAGCCTTGGGCAAACAACAGCGACGACTCCTGTCTCCAAAAAACAACACAGGCAAACACGAAGCTGACAGAGCAGCCACCACGCTATTCCCTGCATAGCCACCAGGGTCCGGGTTCGGCACTAATAGGGGGACTTTGAGGTCCCTTCGTTGTTTCTCCTTGGCTCCCTCAGATTTTTTTCACAGACCGACGATAACTTCACCTTCAGGCGAGGTAAACCCAGGGCTATGGGCTTCGCTCCTACATCGCCTTGGCTTTTCCACGCTGGGCGCATCCAGATCTCCTGTGTCTCTGCTCTCACTAATAACTTCGCGGAAACGTCACTTTCCCTCTCTGAGTTCCTAAGGGCTCAAAACTGAGCCGGTTTTAGTCTTAATCATGCTTTCGTGGTCCACCAGCTACTACTGTTTGTCGTCCCGCGCATAAGTAGTTTCTTTGTGCTGTTTTAGTTTTCCTTCCACTCCCAATAATCCAGCTCGGCACACATACACACCAGCATTTATCATATATCACCGCTTCTTTTTTTTTTTTTTTTTTTTGCAGCGACACCCTCGCCGAGTCTCGACTTGTCTGACCAGGGCTACGAAGTGAGTGCGTCGGCGTCGCCTAGGCCTCATCAGCACCATTCAAACTCATGGCTCAAAGCACACTCCTCACTTACTGCCCCTCAGCCCCCGACGATGAGTGGAACTACGATCAGTCAGCGCCAACCTCGCACGCCGCTAATTTTCTAGTATAGCTTAAGCGTGCGCAACATTATTTCTTTCTATTGATAGTAGCAGACCGCCTCCGATGGGGCTCTCGCGTTCATCCCGCCCATCGCGACTACTGCGTATTCGAACACTCCTTGGCCGATTTTAGAGCATCCCCAGCACTCAGCCTCCATCAGAGTGCTAGGATTACAGGCGTGAGCCACCACGCCGGCCTGTAACAGCTATTATTAAGGGTCTAGGTCAGTTTGGGACTTGTGATCCCCTCTTTCTCCTGGTCCATATAAAGAGTTTCTCAGCTTTTCAATTAAAGTCACAGAGACAGTGGAATAAAAGCATTACAGAGGCTAGAGCTGGGCAGAAATAATCGGTAGATGCCAGGATTACTTGTTCTGCAAGGCCTAACTTACCTGTTGAAATCATACTGCACATTCTGAGTCAAGTCTATGTTGAGGAGAATGAAATCGTGCACGTGGCACCTAGAAAATGGGGCCTTTAGGCTCTGAGAAGTCAGCTTGCTGCTCCATTTCTGTATGCCCAAGAGTGCATAGTGGACAATTTTTGGTGTGGCTTCGATATGCTGCAAGACACTCTTCAAGGACACATTCTTACTGGAAATTCCTGCTTCCATGGGCTGGCTATGAAATATGAAGTTAGTTTATTTTAGATGTCAATAAATATTACTGAAGAGAGGATCATTTGTGAAGGGCCTACACTACTGTACACTTGTAATAATGTAAAGGATATAATCAACTGATAGACTTTGTATTAGCCTGGAAGGGAAGAGGATATATAAAGCCCAGTTTTCACACTGCATGTCAGTGTTAACTTAAATAAGCTGCCTTTTGGGGGTGAGGCTTATCACTTTAGGGCAGAGAAAGCAATGCAGCCCATGTTTCAAAGTGAATAATGAGTAGGGAGTTACCAAAGAGAGGTAGCCGAAGGTTAGAAGCACAGAAATATACTTCTCAGTTCTGATAATTACGTATAGTAAATATTTGAAAACTTGACTGGCCTTAAATCCATAGTAGAAACAAGGACACAAAATCACAATACTTGAGCTGGAAGGGGCTTAGAGATTATCTGGCAGTGTTTAAGTGGGGAGTACTACTGAATTTGAGGGGCTATTTATTGCATAGTACTTTTAAATGTTTAGCATTCCCTAGTCTTCACAACCCCCCTGTGGACCACCCCCTAGCACTGTGACATCCCCAAATGCTCTCTAGGAGAGCAGCACTGCCCCAGGAAGAGAACCACTGCTTTTAGCCCAGCCATAATTTTACAGGTGATGGACTTGAGATACACAGAGGTGAGATGCTTTCCCTTTTCATACAGGCAGTCAAGAAGCAGAGCGGGGGTTACAGACCAGGCCTCCTGATTCAGACGTCAACAGATAAATCAGTGTGTCAACAAACTTTTGTAGCTAACCAACGCCATGATGCCAAAATGGTCCAGGAATTTAATGACATAGTGAATGTCTACATAAAAAATTCTTAAGTCATCACAAAATGTGCTAGTGAGGGTAGACCTTGGTTGACCATTTTGCTCTGGAAAGCTGTCTGTCTTATTCACTTCCATGTGTAACTGCAGCTGAAAAAAGTATCTTCCCTATAGCATTGTGTCATAATCTCCCAGAACTGCTTTGAAGTATCACTACCTGGTCTGCTCCTGAATACTGTGAATGTTCCACAGGACACACGAGTCATCCATCACAACAATGAAAGGCCAGACACACTGGCGTTTAATTCCCAGCTCCTCCAGGCGGTTCCTCTCCAGTTCTAGGTTGTGATATGACAGCTCCTTAATGAGGAACCTGGCAGCACCTGGAAGGCAACATAACCACATCTACACATTTTTTAGTCAGGCTTGGCTGAAGCCCAACAGGCAGCTCAGTCTCTCCACAGGGATGCCTGTTCACGTGGCAGCCACGCAGGTGGGAGCCAACCAAATGTTCAGAGCAGTGGCTCTCAAACTAGTTTATGTAAGAGTGACTGGAGAATCACTTGGAAGTAGATTCCTGGAGCCCATCACCAGAGATTTACTTGAGTAGGTCTGGAGAAGCCCCAGAAACCAGAGATATCTGATGTTACAGATGATCTAGGAACTACACTTTTGGAGTACTGCAAGAATCCACTTTCCCCGGTACGTTAAAGGATACCACATATAGTAATTGCTATTACTTTGAAGTGTGCACGCTCAGTCTTGGAAGCAGCTACTCACATGTCCTGCACTAGGAAGTTCACCACAGCTGCAGTGGGTGGATATGCGACTTCCACTGATGGGTCCCCTGCTTTTAGATACTTTTAGGAAATTGGCCGCAGCACCTTCTCTGAAGATGATTATGGAAACTGGCACCCCCTTCCCTTGATCTACTTATTGCAAGAGGCAATATGGTGTAGTAAAAGAATAGATGGGAGCCAACCTGTCTGATTTTGAATCCTGATTCTGCCACTTTCTGACCATGTTACCCTGGATAGGTTAGCTCCATTGTGCCTTGGCTTCTCCACTGGTAAGGAAGAGACCATAATGTCTATCTCATAGGACTGTATGGTGCTCAGGACAGTGCCTCGCTCACAGTATGTACTCAGTGAGTGTCGGCGATTATTAAGGTGATGATCAGGAATTAGCCAAATTTTATGAGTGGCCACCCTAAAATGAAACAAAATGTAGATGATAATGAAACAAAGAGGCTCAAACTATTTAAATCTTTGGAGGAACCCAAAGAAGTTTGAATGGATTAAGGAGTAAAACCAGGATATAGGAAAATCTACCTTCCAAGAACATGTGGGTAATAGCTCACATTCTCAACAACATCTAATATGGGCTGTATGTGAAATCCCACAGCCAATAGCATCATAGCCAGTCGTGAAAGACTGAAAGCTTTTCCAGATCAGGACCAAGACAGGGATGGCTGCTTTCACCACTTCCAATTAACATAATACTGGAAGTCTTAGAGAAATTAAGCAAGAAAAAGAAATGAAATAAAAGGCATCCAAATTGGGAAGAAGAAAACTATCTCTGTTCCTAGACAACATAGGTAGAAAACTCTAAAAATTTCCCACAAAAAACTGTTAGAACTAATAAAGTTGCAGATGTAAAATCAATGCCAAAAATTAGTTTCATTTCTGTATTCCAACAATGAGTAATCTAAAAAAGGAAATTAAGAAAACAGTTCTGGCCGGGCACGGTGGTTCACGCCTGTAATCCTAGCACTCTGGGAGGCCGAGGCGGGCGGATTGCTCAAGGTCAGGAGGTCAAAACCAGCCTGAGCGAGACCCCGTCTCTACCATAAAAATAGAAAGAATTTAATTGGCCAACTAATATATATAATATAAAAATCAGCCGGGCATGGTGGCTCGTGCCTGTAGTCCCAGCTACTCGGGAGGCTGAGGCAGCAGAATTGCTTGAGCCTAGGAGTTTGAGGTTGCTGTGAGCTAGGCTGACGCCACAGCACTCACTCTAGCCTGGGCAACACAGTGAGACGCTGTCTCACGAAAAAAAAAAAAAATGACTCAACTGAGAAATGAGCAAAGGACTTTGGAAACATTTCTCCACAGATGATATGCAAATGGCTAAGAAGCATGTGAAGAAATCTCAACATCACTCATCATTAGGGGAATGCAAATCAAAATCACAAATAAGATACCACCTCAAGAAGAAAAAAAGTGTTGGTGAGGATGTGGAGAAATTGGAACCTTTGTGCACTGCTGGTGGGAATGTAAAATGGTGTAGCCACTATGGAAAACAATATAGTTGGTGATTCTTCAAAAAAATAGAATTATTATATCCAGCAATTCCACTTCTGTGTATATACCTAAAGGAATTAGAAGGGTCTTGAAAACATATTCGTATACCTGTGTTGACAGCATCATTGTTCACAGTAGCCAAAAAGTAGAAGAAGCCCAAGTGTCCATCAACAGATGAATGGATAAACAAAATATATACATACAATGGAATATTACCCAGCCTTTAAAAAGGAAGGAAATTTCGACACATGCTACAACATGGGCGAATCTTGAGGACATTATGCTAAGCTAGTCACAAAAGGACAAATACTGTATAATTCCACTTATATGAGATAGTTAGAGAAAGTTAGGATGATGGTTGCCAGAGGCTGAGGGGAGGGAATGGGGAGTTGTTTAATTGGTGTAGAGTTTTAGTTCTGCAAGATAAAAAGAGTTTTCAGGATGTGTTTCACAACAGTGTGAAGGTACTTAACACTTCTGAACTGTACATTTAGAAATGGTTAAGATGGTAAGTTTTATGTGTTTTTATCCAAACTAAAAAATAATAGTTTGTATTTATTTGTACATATGTTGGCCTTATCCCCAAATTATTGTACTAATAGCAAAACTGGTACTACACAATTCAGTCAAATTGGGGATGAGGAAACTTTTTCTCCTAAGGTTCAGTTAGGTACAAAAGAGGGTTATATTCATATTAAAAAAGACTTAAGTTAGTTTGAGGATAGGTGGTTTGGGGGAGGATAAAGGATCAGAAGTATACAAAAATCTTAATTCACTTGACTTTATATCAAATGTGATAAATATGGAAAATAAAATTTTATTAAAAATAATAAAACTACTTTTGAAAATCTTTTAATCCCTTATTAAGGCTTTGAAGCTGAAGGATATGAAAGGGAACAGAAAGGAACAAGAAGGGAAGAGGCTGATAAAGGCAGGGAAAGAGATGAACACACAGGGAGAGACAGAAGCTAAGTGGGGAAAGCAGGAGACCCTGGGGAGAAGAAACTTGGAGGTTCAAGAAAAGTGCTCAGGTCTCTTCTGCCTTCCACTCTAGCTCTAAGCTGGGTGTTAATACTTCCCTCTAACATAGGAATTAGCAGCTCTTTGTCCCAAATCCTTCTGCTACTCAGCACTGAGTTAGACACCTCCAGAATCTGATGGGAAAAACTGTTTAGAACTATAGTGCAAGAAGTGCCCAGAAGAGTACATCTCTAAAACACGGCAGATTTAGGTGGAGGTTTCCTGTCTGAGTAAGGAAAACCAAAAGGTTCTAGACATCTCCAGTGCCTCCCCATAGCTCTGCCAGACATTCAGCATCCATGAGCCCCCTTTGAGAAATCAGCTTATTGTTCTTAAACCCTGTGGGGAAAAGCAGGAAAGACTTCTTCCATGTACTTTTGCTGTATCTTAGGCAGTAATGATGCTTACAATTCCCCGGCTGTAGAGCAGCCCTCTGGGAACTTTCCATGTGTCTTTAGGATGAGATAACTCAGGGACGCTCCTGATCTGGGTGAACCACTCGCTCGCAGCTCCCTCCCTCCCGTGGACCATCTGTTTTCTCACTGTTACGTTCCTGCCCCACAGTGCTCAACCCAGGAACATTTGCAGCCTACAATCCCAAATCCTTCCCAGGGTGCTCCATATATATTATCTTCCTTACTAGTCCTCAGAAATGCTACAAAACGGCAGATAAGGGGGAAAAGAAAACTCATATTCAAAGAGGAGTCAAAAGACCTTTGGTTAGGAGGGCAGGACTCTCCAGAGGCAGAGGAACCTTTGAAAGTTTCCTGCCAGGGGAATGGAACTCAGTTTGTCTTCTCAGACCTTCTCCCCATCCCAGGAGGGCCCTTACCCACGCCTGCATTATTGAACATGCCGGGAAGCACCAGCATGATGTGGTTGGGCCAGTACTTGCGGTACAGCGGCATCTCATATTCTTTGACCACCAGAAGGTGAAGGTGGCTGATGCCCTCCATAGCGTGGAAAAGGTTTAGGAGTCCATGCTCATGGCGACCACTGGAAGGAGTGAAAATAGGGCTTTTGACTGCATTCAAATTCTGCTGAAAGGATAAAAACAGACCAAAAAGGGAAATTAAAGCCCTTAGATACAAGAAGCTTAGAGACCCTGATCTAGTGCCTGGCAGTCCTTGCGTCCCGATGTTTTTACCCACCTTGTCTGAAACTAGGGGCAGCCGCATACTCTCCAGGTGTTTGCCCTGCTTGCTGAAGACAAAGTGACTCTCTTTGGATTTGGGAATGATGAAATAGAGCTGAACCTCTTCTCCCAGCATAGAGGAAGAGAATGTGAAGGCATGAAGGGTGGAGTCAGACATCTACATTTGCAAAGAAGAAAGGGAGATAATGTAAGCTCATGGTTTCTAAACTTCCACCCTTTTCCTTTAGTTTGTTATTAAGAGAGGTGAACTGACATGAACTTATAAATGCCACCAGACCTTCTGGCAACATTTCACGTGTTGGGAAGGCAAACGCTTCATTGTTTAGTAGCTGCCACTGACATGAGAGCCAAGCATCTTGCCTCTCCATGGGAGGAGAAGGGCTCATTGCTTGGCACTGTCTGCATTCCTCATGCTCTTAGAGCCACAACTGCTCAGTCGTATGCAGAGGGGGCCAGATACACCCGTGGGACGTCCTGCTACGTTCGCGCTCCCAGAGGTCCCTGGTTATGGGGGAAAACACTTCTCTGTGTGTGTCAGGTCAAATGAGTTGAATATCAGCTCTCTAAATAAAATATAAGGACTGACATCATTAAAATGCCTCTGTGGCCCCATCTTTACAGTGGGAGTTGAAGAGGTTTGAACAGTCATTTAGCTCAGAACACTGGCTTCAGGGAGAGACCATTTGACTCACTGAAGCCATATATACATCTAACCTATTTTTAAAGTTGCTGGGAAGTTCACATGCTCTCAGTAACCCATCTCAGTGGATAATTATATAATAGGCCTTTTTATGTGCTTTATAATGCAGATGATATTTTGCTTAGTGAAAGGATAACATCAATTTTCATTAGCAACTAGAATTCAGGTGGGTTTCCTAATGGTTTTCAACCAAAATACTATATTTCATAGAAAAATATTGTACTTCTTTCTTTAAATTCTAGTTTATTCTGCTTCACAAACGTGGGAATATACTACTTAGATATTATAATGACACGGAAACTATATGAATAGAGGGGTTTTAATAAAGAGACCTTTTTAAAAACCTATGATCTATATACCAGGGGACTTGAGTCTTTTATATTCCTAAGGTACTGTGAGCTGATTTCAAAGCAGACGTCCAAAAGTTTTCAGTAACACCAAGAAAACAAATGGGCTATAAAAGGTAACTTGTATTAGAAAGGCAGAATGATTCAATCAGTTTTGAAGCACATCCCTTCTAGTACCCATTTGTATTTCAGGATTAGATGTGGAAAGGGTGAAGATCTGGTCCTGAAGAACAAAAAGCAGGTTTGGGGGAGTCCAGTCAGCATGGCCTATAAGAAGCAAGAGTTGTTTCTAGGCGTTCAGAGCCAAGTCGTAAAAATTAGGGGAAAGCAGGCTCTGGATACTACTATCGTTTGTCGCCTTTCCTGTCTTAAAGATGCACTTGCCAAAAAGAAGACAAATACTAGGGAGTATTGGCTCACATTCTGTATTCATCTCTCTCAGTTTACACTCATAAAACAGACATTGACTCCACTGGACAAAACTACTCCAAGCAGGAGTAAGAATATGATTGGGTTGGTGCAAATCAACAGACATGTTAGAATCACAGCCCAAAGGGCACACCCTGTGGATTTGTTAGATACTAGTGCCATTTTAGTCAACAATCCAAATGGGGATGAGGAAGACCCTTTTACCAAATGTACTATAACATACAGGTCACAGATAAACATCTCAGCTACTTTCTAACCTAAATATGACACCTGTAACCATTTTGGTGAAGTAATTTAAGACACTAAGCTGCTTCCCCTCCCTCCCTAATAACCCCAATATGCTCAACTTTGATTTAATCATTGATTGCTTCATGCATTTTCTCACCAATGAGTGGCTCCTTCTCATAAACTCTGCTTTACCTAGGGCCTGAAAGTAGGACCGTGAAATTTCATCCCTCCACTCCCTACCCTTTCATACAAAAGCCATATTGGGTAACAGGTCCAAGGGCAAAGGTGGGGGCTGCACCTGGGCGGCCGAGGTGAAGTCCATGTACTGGTGGCACTGCTCACAGTGGTGAAAAGTGTTGTAGGCTGCATATTTGGTCAGCATCATGGACACAGTTTCTCGTTTCCTGGGTTCCTCAACTTTGGATTCCTTTATTACTTCTGTGTATAAAGGGGCAAAAAAAAAAAAAAAAAAATTCTATGATAGCACATGTCTCCCTCATGCCTAGGGAAAAAAGTCCCCTTCTCCCCAAAAGGACTTTTCCAAGGATTCAATAATTTATGCTTTGAGAAGCAGATATGAAAATTAAAAGATGATATGCGTGTCTGTAAGGGAGAAAAGAGAAAAACAGATTTAACTACCCCAGGCCTCCTGCCCTGATTTAGGTTCCCCTTGACCTTCAAAGGAGGGAGGTTTGGCTCCAATTGCACTGACCTTGTTTAACCCCTGCCAGCTTCTCAGTATATACCAGGCTCATCAGACTGTACTTGGGATCGTGCACACTGACGTCGAAAGGCATTTTACTGAAGCTCTCGATGTCAGGCCAGGGCTCTCCCTCTGACTGGCTCACTTCACTGCTTTCACTGTGATCTAGGACAAGAAGACAGTACACAGAGCAGGCAGATTGACCTTCCTCCCTCCCAAGCAGCAGGGAGTGAGGTTTTATGAAACATAAAGCCTAAAATGGGTGGACAAAGGCATTTTTGAAAAATGAGCTTTTCTTTCTCAGGTTAGAAGGAGCCAGAATTCTTCAGACCCAAGCTGAAAGGAATGTTTGTCCTCACTGGCCCCCAGCATTCGTCTCTACAGATGCAGTCTATAAACTTCCATATCTATAAGATCAAACGAGTCTCCCAACTACCCCAAATGTCCTTATAAAAGCTTGATTAATCTTGATGATCTAAATTGTTTTACAATTTTAGCTGTGGGGTGTTAAGATGTTGATATCCAAGAGATTTTAGGATGCACTGAGCAAGATCCTCAATGTTTCCCACATGTTATTGTTGTAGAATCACCTGGGGAGCTTGTAAGACTCCCCACACTCAAGCCACATACCCCAGACCAGTTAAATCAGTGTATTTAAAGCACTGGGACAGTGGCAGACACACAGGTATCCAACAGATTATTGTTAATAATAATTAAAATTTTTAGGATCAAATAGTAGCTTAAGAGAACTTTCAAAAGGGATAAAAGAAGAAATACACTTTCATAAAAAGTCTAAAGACTGGAAGTACAGCTGTTATCTTTTTTTTTTTTTCAGTCTTTCATATGATTTATTTTCTCCCTTCACCCATAATAATATGATATCCAAATTTTGTCTTCACTGGTGGATCTGTAAACACAGGTTTCTCCATCCCACTTATAGGCAAGCCAAATGCTGCTTCTTGAAAAGGTCCCATCGTGGACCCTCTGGTCATCCAACACAAGTCACCCCCTTGCTTGGCTTTATCTTCACTATATTGGGCAGCCACTTCACTGAATCTCGTTCCAGACTTTAACTTTCCCACGGCTTCCATGACTTTGCCGTGTTTCTCACATAGAATGTGTCTGACCTTTACCGCATTGCCACCGCCGTTGGGACCCTGAGCCTTCTTGTCAGAACTGTCGCTCCCAGAGGCTGCTCCCCCTTTTCCAGAACCACTTTTTCCTTTGAGCGGCATCTCCTAAACTTGCCGTTGAACTCCAGCTGTTATCTTTTAACACAAGTAATACCATTTATTTTTATATCCCTGAGCTAAAGTTTGTGCTTTATTTAAAGTTTCAAGATTATTCTAGTTTTTTAAAAACGTGTCATTGTGCCTCTTCAGAATACCATTGCATTCACCTGCACTAAAGTGAGGGAGAAGGAAGAAAGCCAGACTAGTAGTATATCTCACTACAAAGGCCAGGTTCTCCTGTCCAATGGGCTGTAACGTACTCTCAGCTCACAGACACAGGGTGAGATTCAAGGTCACTGTATTATGATCCGAGGATAAAACCAAAGGCATCACTCTGTTGCGGTGCCAAGGAGCCTGGTGGGAAAGCTGGCAGGAATGCCAGGGCCCCGACTCCTGGTCTGCTTGGCTCTGGCTTTGCCCTTCTGGGCCCTGCCCCCTTCCAGGGGTCTGGGGTGTTTTGAGGCTAACCTGGAGCTCTGGCTCTCCTCTGTGGGGGCCTGGGGAGTCGCTGCAGTTCAGCTAGGGACATGAGGAGACATGGATGGTAAGAGAAGATCGTGTGTGTGTGTGTGTGTGTGTCTAAAATCATGAGTGGGAATTGATGAGGAATGGAAATAATGCTGAAACCATAATAAAATGATTAAATATGTATGATTTTACTTACTCTTGGCTTGCACTTAAACCAGTCCCTTCCGCTGGTCAGGGAACAGGTCCAACTATTTAGGTCAAACAAGTATGGTAAGATCTCTAAGAGTTAACTTGATAGATGATACTGAGGGCTTTCCCTATCCTGGACTCATCTTTGAGGGACCTGAGGAGAACTTCTACCCGGTAGCCTTACTGCCTCCCCACGATTCCCCTCCAGCATGGTTCTGAGACGGGAAGCCATAGTTTTGAGGCCACTGTTCTTAGCCACAGAATGGAATTGTCTCCCTGGGGTTAGATGGCTGGAAGGATCCTGCTCTGCACGCTGGCTCCCACAGCCCTGTGGAGCACTCACCCCTGTGTCTTAACTGCCAACGGGAAGGGATTTTATTTGTGGTGCCAGCATTCGTAGATGTTTTCATTTCATTATAGGAATCCTATGCCTTCACTCAGAGCCTGTGGTTAAAATATAAGATATACTCCAGCTGACCAACCACGGACTAATATCCAGAATTTGCCCTGGATTTCTAAGCAGTTGAATACTACACATTGAATTTTATAACCATTTGGCCATCTAGGGAATTAATCTACCTAACAGGGCTTTATAAAATGCCTCTGTGCCCAGCACCTTGCTGGACATTGTGGAGAGAGGGAGGCCAGAAGTAGAATACTCTATCCCTGACCTCAAGGAGCTAAAAAACAAAGGCTACAGCTTATTTAGAACTATTTGCTGGGCATATCTTCTTTAACCTCACAATAACACTGCAAGTTAGGTATGCAGAAATCCCAGAAGGCAGAAGCAAACTCCCAGGATTTGGTGTTTAATGCTTTTACATCTTGCCCCTTAGCCGCCCCTCACGGCTCTGGCTCAGAACTCACCAGCGTTGATCTCCTCCTCGTCATATACATCCACCTCCAGGAGCCTGATGAGCATGCGGAAGAGGATCCTAAGGAACTGTAAATAGGAGCCAGTCTTTCCCACCTGATGGAAACATTTTGCATTGCGGAGGGGTTGGAGGAGGGGAAGAAAAAAGAAAAAGATTTCACACCTTGGCTCTTCAGTGTTGCCTTCTGCCTCTCGGAGGCCTAAATGAGGTCCTCATTGCTCTGTCACACCCACTCCCCACCCCCCAAGAGGTTCCCTGGCTTCTTCCTTCGTGGGGAAGATGCACCAACCCTAGCCTACGACGGGGCCCGGCCCCGCCCCGCCCTTCCCTACCTGGGGAGGCCCAGTCAGCAGCAGCCGCCGGGGGTGGAAGGTCCGCGTGCCAGAGGCCGGGTCTGGCTGGTTGCTGTAGTCAGCGTGGTGCTGCCGGGCAGAGGTCCACTGCCTGTAGTAGAGCGACTGCTCCTCACTGCTCATGTCCTTGTGCAGGAATGGCCGCAGGGAGCTCACCCAGGCCACATCGGCATGGGGCAGCAGGGACGAGGAGGACGGCAGCTTGCCACCCTTCTGGGAGCCCAGAAGGCTGTAGGCAGCTTTGGATAAGATCACTATTGGTGGCAGGGCTGCATGCAGGCCCCTACAGCCTCTGAGAGGCTGTCCTGCCCACGGAAGGGTCCTGGGTCCCGAGGAGGATGACGAAGGCTTGGAGGTGGTGCTGCTCGCCATCTGGGGGCCCAGGGAATCGCACTCCTGCTTTAGAGCCTCCCCAGCTCCGGCCATGCCGGCGGAGACCCCTTCGTCCAGCCCTACGCTGGCGGCTGGGCTCTGGAAGCTGGGGATCAAGGACTGCTTCTGGGACTTGTCGGCCGTGCTGGAAGAGCTTACCCCATTCTCCATGATGGAACCTGAAAGAGGAAGCCACCCCGTGCCCACCCTGTTACTGATGCCGAGGTTTGCTCCTCCCAGGCTCCTGGCACCTCTGAGAGGGAGGCGAAGGCCAGGAAAGCAGCTGAAACCTCGCTCAGCTCTGTGGCTGCAGATCCTGTGCTCGAAATCTTCCCTTTGCCTCACTGTCCATCCTGGCCCATCCTGCTCCCTTGCCCTGGCTTCTCGGTGGGTTTGGCCAATAGGAAGCACCAGCAGGAAGTTGGTTATTTCTTCCCCGGCTTCCTCCTGCATGGTCACCCTGGGTTGGCCACCTTTCTCTACTGAGGGCTTTGGCTCAGGTCCCAGTAACTGTTCCCTCACTTCAGGCCCAGAGGTGGGCAGGGCTCCCTGGGATTAACTAGACCCTAGTTCTGCACCACCTCTTGCTGCTTTTCTAAGCCCCTATCTTTGCAGTAGTCACTTTATTAAACTCTCCTCAAATGACCTTACTTGGATCTGACATCTGATTCCTTCTAGGACCCTGCCAGTCCAGGCTGCATATTCAGGTCCTACTCCAATGGCTGCTTTCTGGGAGCTGAGGGCCTCACACTTCTGGCTGTGGATAAACTGCCAGGCTGCAGCCACTTCCATGGATCCCAAAGCAGGGCTGGGGGTGTCGCCATGCAAAGGCATAATCTAATCCAAATGAGGTGTTGCTCTTCCCCAAAGTATCCCTGCACATCTGGCAATTGACTTCATTTTTATTTTTTATTTTTATTTTTTATTTATTTATTTATTTATTTTTTTGGAGACAGAGTCTCACTTTTGTTGCCCTGGCTAGAGTGAGTGCCGTGGCATCAGCCTAGCTCACAGCAACCTCAAACTCCTGGGCTCAAGCGATCCTCCTGCCTCAGCTCCCAAGTAGCTGGGACTACAGGCATGCGCCACCATGCCCGGCTGATTTTTTGTATATATACTTTAATTGGTCAATTAATTTCTTTCTATTTTTAGTAGAGACGGGGTCTTGCTCAGGCTGGTTTTGAACTCCCGACCTCGAGCAATCCGCCCGCCTCGGCCTCCCAGAGTGCTAGGATTACAGGCGTGAGCCACCGCGCCCGGCCTGGCAATTGACTTCAAATATGCTTTTTCCTCAAAGGATCAGCCACTTTGGTTTGAGGACAAACAGAAGCTCATTACATTCAGGACTAATGGCCCACTCTGAACTCAGATAGGTGCTGTCCAGGCATGTAAGTCAAATGCCAACCTTGGGGAATCCTGCATGAACAGCCATTGATTGGAGGTTGTTAAAACCAAGTCCCTCGGCGGGGCGGGTGGCTCACGCTTGTAATCCTAGCACTCTGGGAGGCCGAGGCGGGCGGATTGCTCAAGGTCAGGAGTTCAAAACCAGCCTGAGCGAGACCCGTCTCTACTATAAAAAATAGAAATAAATTAATTGGCCAACTAATACATATATATATAAAAAAAATTAGCCGGGCATGGTGGCTCGTGCTGTAGTCCAGCAACTCGGGAGGCTGAGGCAGTAGGATTGCTTAAGCCCAGGAGTTTGAGGTTGCTGTGAGCTAGGCTGACGCCACGGCACTCACTCTAGCCTGGGCAACAAAGTGAGACTCTGTCTCAAAAAAAAAAAAGAGAAAACAGTTCCATTTACAGTAGCATCAAAAAGAATAAAATACGTAGGAATAAACTTAACAAAGGAAGCCAAAGACTTGTGTAGTGAAAAGTACAAAATACTGCCAAAATAAATTAAAGACACTAGTAAACAGAAGGATACTCCACATTCATGGATTAGAATATTTAACGTTAGATGTCAGTACTACCTAAAGTGATTTGTAGATTTATTGCAGTCTCTATCAAAATCTGAAAGACTGCAGAAATAGAAAAATCCATCCTTAAATACATATGGAATCTCAGGGGACCCCAAGTGGCCAATACCATCTTGAAAAAGAACCTAAAGTTGGAGGTCTCATATCTCCTGATTTCAAAACTTACCACAAGGCTATAGTAATCAAAAGAGTATGGTAGTGGCATGAAGAGAGACATATAGAAAGCTCAGAAATAAAACCCTCTCACATATGGTCAAGTCGCTTTTGATGAGGGCTTTCAATGGGGAATAGAAGGTCTGGTATGGGAAACTGGATATCCACATGCAAAGAATGAAGTTGGACCCTTATCTTAGGCCATATAAAAATTAACTCAAAATAGATCAAAGACCTAAACCTAAAAGCTAGAACTGTAAAACATTTAGAATAAAACATAAGGGACGACTTCTTGATGGCATTGAATTTGGCAATGGTTTCCTGCATGTGAGACCAAAAACAAAGGCAACAAAAGAAAAAACAGACAATCTAGATTTCATCAAATAAAGTGAAAAGGAAATCCATGGAATGAGAGGAAATATGTACAAATACCTGATGAGAGGTTAATATCCAGAATGTATACTCCCTTATAAGAACTCTTACAACTCAACAGTGATAAAAAATGATTCAGGCCGGGCGCGGTGGCTCACGCCTAAAAAAATCCAGAGGCAGAAGCAACCTCCAGGATTTGTGTTTAATGCCTTACATCTGCCCTCAGCCGCCCCTCACGGCTCTGGCTCAGAATCACAGCGTTGATCCTCCTCGTTCATACACATCCACCTCCAGGAGCCTGAGAGCATGCGGAAGAGGATCCTAAGGAACTGTAAATAGGAGCCATCTTTCCACCTGATGGAAACATTTTGCATTGGGGAGGGGTTGGAGGAGGAGGAAAAAAGAAAAAGATTTCACACCGTGCTCTTCAGTGTTGCCTTCTGCTCTCGGAGGCCTAAATGAGGTCCTCATTGCTCGCACACACTCCCACCCCCAAGAGGTTCCTGGCTTTTCTTCGTGGGGAAGATGCACCAACCCCTAGCTACGACAGGCCCGCCCGCCCGCCCGTCCTACCTGGGGAGGCCCAGTCAGCAGCAGCCCGGGGTGGAAGGTCGCGTGCCAGAGGCCGGTCTGGCTGGTTGCTGTAGTCAGCGGTGCTGCGCAGAGTCATGCCTGTAGTAGAGCGACTCTCCTCACTGCTCATGTCCTTGTGCAGGAATGGCCGCAGGGAGCTCACCCAGGCCACATCGGCGTGGGGCAGCAGGGACGAGGAGGGAGCTGCCACCCTTCTGGGAGCCCAGAAGGCTGTAGGCAGCTTTGGATAGATCACTATTGGGTGGCAGGGCTGCATGCAGGCCCTACAGCCTCTGGAGAGCTGTCCTGCCCACGGAAGGGTCCTGGGTCCCGAGGAGGATGACGAAGGCTTGGAGGTGGTGCTGCTGCCATCTGGGGCCCAGGGAATCGCACTCCTGCTTTAGAGCCTCCCCAGCTCCGCCTGCCGGTGGAGACCCTTCGTCCAGCCCTACGCTGGCGGCTGGGCTCTGGAAGCTGGGATCGAAGGACTGCTTCTGGACTTGTCGGCCCGTGCTGGAAGAGCTTACCCCATTCTCCATGATGGAACCTGAAAGAGGAAGCCACCCCCGGCCCACCCTGTGACTGATGCCGAGGTTTGCTCCTCCCAGGCTCCTGGCACCTCTGAGAGGGAGCGAGGCCAGGAAAGCAGCTGAAACCTCGCTCAGCTCTGTGGTGCAGATTCCTGTGCTCGAAATCTTCCTTTCCTCACTGGCCATCCTGGCCCATCCTGCTCCTTGCCTGGCTTCTCGGTGGTTCGGCCAATAGGAAGCACAGCAGAAAGTTGGTTATTCTTCCGCTTCCTCCTGCATGGTCACCTGGGTTGGCCACCTTTCTTCACTGAGGCTTCGGCTCAGGTCCCAGTAACTGTTCCCTCACTTCAGGCCAGAGGTGGCAGGGCTCCCTGGGATTAACTAGACCCTAGTTCTGCACCACCTCTTGTGCTTTCTAAGCCCCTATCTTTGCAGTAGTCACTTTATTAAATCTCCTCAAATGACCTTACTTGGAATCTGACATCTGATTCCTTCTAGACCCTGCCAGTCCAGGCTGCATATTCAGGTCCTACTCCAATGGCTGCTTACTGGGATGAGGGCCTCACACTTCTGGCTGTGGATAACTGCCAGGCTGCAGCCACTTCCATGGATCCCAAAGCAGGGCTGGGGTCGCCATGCAAAGGCATAATCTAATCCAATGAGGTGTTGCTCTTCCCCAAAGTATCCTGCACATCTGCAATTGACTTCATTTTTATTTTTTATTTTTATTTATTTATTTATTTTTTTGGAGACAGAGTCTCACTTTTGTTGCCTTGGCTAGAGTGAGTGCCGTGGCATCAGCCTAGCTCACAGCAACCTCAAACTCCTGGGCTCAAGCGATTCTCCTGCCTCAGCCTCCCAAGTAGCTGGGACTACAGGCATGCGCCACCATGCCCGGTAATTTTTGTATATATACTTTTAATTGGTCAATTAATTTCTTTATTTTAGTAGAGACGGGGTCTCGCTCAGGCTGGTTTCGAACTCCGACCTCGAGCAATCCGCCCCCTCGGCCTCCCAGAGTGCTAGGATTACAGGCGTGAGCCACCGCGCTGGCCTGGCAATTGACTTCAAATATGCTTTTTCCTCAAAGGATCAGCCATTGGTTTGAGGACAAACAGAAGCTCATTACATTAAGGACTAATGGCCCACTCTGAACTCAGATAGGTGCTGTCCAGGCATGTAAGTCAAATGCCAACCTTGGGGAATCCTGCATGAACAGCCATTTGATGGAGGGATGTTTGCGCCTGTGAGCTAGGAAGCCAAAGACTTGTGTAGTGAAAAGTACAAAATACTGCCAAATAATTAAAGACACTAGTAAACAGAAGGATACTCCACATTCATGGATTAGAATATTTAACGTTAGATGTCAGTACTACCTAAAGTGATTTGGTAGATTTATTGCCAGTCTCTATCAAAATCTGAAAGACTGCAGAAATAAAAAATCCATCCTTAAATACATATGGAATCTCAGGGGACCCAAGTGGCCATACCATCTTGAAAAAGAACCTAAAGTTGGAGGGTCTCATATCTCCTGATTTCAAACTTACCACAAGGCTATAGTAATCAAAAGAGTTGGTAGTGGCAGTGAAGAGAGACATATAGAAAGCTCAGAAATAAAACCCCCTCACATATGGTCAAGTCGCTTTTGATGAGGGCTTTCAATGGGGAATAGAAGGTTGGTATGGGAAACTGGATAATCCACCATGCAAAGATGAAGTTGGACCTTATCTTAGGCCATATAAAAATTAACTCAAAATAGATCAAAGACCTAAACCTAAAAGCTAGAACTGTAAAACATTTAGAATAAAACATAGGGACGACTTCTTGATGGCATTGAATTTGGCAATGGTTTCCTGCATGTGAGACCAAAAACAAAGGCAACAAAAGAAAAACAGACATCTAGATTTCACAATAAAAGTGAAAAGGAAATCCATGGATGAAGAGGAAATATGTACAAATACCTGATGAGAGGTTAATATCCAGAATGTATACTCCCTTATAAGAACTCTTACAACTCAACAGTGATAAAAAATGATTCAGGCCGGGCGCGGTGGCTCACGCCT